CTCTCCCGGGGCCATCGACACTTTGTGTTGCGAATACACAAACTCGGAAAGGCGTTGCTGCTGGGGTCTGTGGGAGCTGTAGCTGGTTACCGGAGACGTACTCCTGTCCATTCCCTCCCCAATGGTTGACACCGAGGCAGAATGAGGAACTGCATGTTCACTGGTAACCGCTCGGAAGTCGTGGGCGCTCTTTAAGAGCAGGTGAATTTACTAACTTTAAATTTACGTACGGAACTGTGCTTGAGATACTAATTATGTCCGAATTATGGCATCAACCACAAACCACTTCAGATCTACATGCTCGAAACCCATTTCCACTGATAGTGTTTGCAGAGTACCACCTAGTGGTGCCATTCCCGAGCTTAAAGGAGAGACCGGTCAGACTGTAGAACAATCAGTTGAATAAATTTTGGTACCATGAGTAATTAAAGTACCTTAAGAGCTTCGAATGGAGTATTTTCTGACCGCCAAAGAGGACCGAAGCCGTGCCAATCTGAGAGAACTAATGAAATAACAAACAAGCGGAACTGAACATCCGCACTGGATTCAAATTTTTCCCGACACGTAAAGCTGATAACTGGCCAAAAGGGTATCATGAAATTAGTCAAATGTTTTAGGCGTCAATTGCTAAGGCGCTTGATATACCATCAACCCCAACAGCTAATTCAGATCTCTTTTTTGCCAAAAAATAATCCATTTGACCAACTACGAAAATAAATAGAACTTTCCGACAGCGCCGTCGCACCTACTGGGCCCACATTTGGCGCAATCACGGTTTTGTCGGATATTTTAGCAGCAGCAACCTCCAATTGCAGAGCTTCTAAACTGGAAAGGCACATAGGCACGAAGTGGAGCTGAATACATGTATTCTAGGGAGAACATAGAAATTTGGCCTGAGCATGACCCGAAGGCCAGTCCACGTATTCAAGGGCCAGACAAATCTTCATTTTTCAAGTGACCACCAGATGTCATGTGGTCACATAAGCAAAGTATTGCAATAGCAACTCACACGTAAGAGGCGCTGTGGACGCAACGGAGACTTATGGTCTGCTGGGCGTCTGCCAGAATGTGAACCGCTTACTGGCAAGCGTAAGCATTCCATCGAAGTGAGGTGTTTCGATCCACTTATCTCACTCGCCTGTTACGCGCTGATCCAATCTGCCCCAGTACCTTTTATTTGGCACCATTTAGTGCCGGTTTTAATGTGCAAATCCACCTTCGCTATCCGCAAACAACGATTTTAAGCCCGCTTCTCCTCTTGTGAACTAGTCAGAGTTGAGGCAATCTCACCTTTACGCCGATCCCCTGCCTAGTGTAGTTTGTTGCTCAGGCATTTTGATGCACAGTTAAATTAAGTAAGTTTGCAAGCAGTTTGTTGTCTGTGTGCAGGCGCTGTCGCCACTCTCGCCTCTGCTAAATTTCTTATTCTCTGGATAACACCTATTAAGGCTCTTTTTTGTTTCTGTTGCGGATACCTCGTCATCGTGTAGCAGCAGACGGAAGTAGAAGCATGTGATGAACGAGACAATTTCAAGCTCGTGGTAGCTCGCCTAACTGTCATTGCAGTCACTAATCGAGTGACATGACTGTGGCAAAAGTCTCCAAATGTTGATCAATGATTCAATTGACATCCTTCTCAAACAAACTACAACCACCTCGGTGACTCACTCAGTGATCAAACATTTCCAAAGCGAAACAAAGCTTTCCGTTATGAATCACATCTCTTAGCAAAAAAAATTGTTTGACAGATAGGTGTCTTGGATGACTAAGTAGAATCTGATAAACATGTAATCCCCTACAAGAACAGAATGACTGCAATGTGGTTGGAGTAAATCGAATGTGAAAAGGTAGATACCTTTAAAATGCTCAAGCATATCCAAACACACCCTTTCCGGTGATGCGTGTGTTAAAATAAACAACTGATGCTTTATTTGAAGTGATCTCTACCAGAGGTAAGAAAACCGACTTCTACAAATAGGATCAGAACGGAAAGAGCCCGTTCATCGCATAAAGCAACATTCATTCGCATGTCATTCGCCTTGTTTTTATGTTAGTAATGATAAGTCGTTTGTTGATGTCTCAATTGTAGCCACGGAAACGAGGGTGAGAGCACTTCCCCAGTGCGCTTCAGTAGGTTGGTCCACAGAAAGCTAAAATTTCCAAAGTGCAGCATGCCTTAGGAGCGGGAAATTAGCTTGACCTCCCATTTCCGTAGTCAGCTAATCCGCTTAACTATAACATGCATGGCACTCGAGCCATTTCCACGAGCCCTCGTTATAGTCACCACCATATTCCTTCAACGAGTTCAAGATACTAAGCCTCCGCGTAAGCATCGTCAGCCCTGATTGATGACACGGACTAGCAGTGCAAAGAGCGTTGCTAACCTCGTCAGAAAACCAACCCAAAGACCAGTGTCGGCGATGTATAGTTGCATGCCCTGTGACTTCATCTCGGTCTCCAAGAGTTTCGCAGAGCGACAATCCAAATTGGGTAAATCGGTTTGCATCATCCTTTCCATAGTTCGGCCAATGCAATTTTGTCCGACCAATTACATCAACTGCCGACAGGTAAGAGAAACCAACAAGAATAACTTCATCGTACGCCACCTTCAGCCCGAGCAACAATTCTTGCAGCAATTAAACCAGACCATCCAAATGAGGCATTTCTTGTACAGGACCACCAGGCCTCCCAGCACTGCGTCTCCCACGCCTCACCTCAAGCATGTGACAAAGGTGGCATTCAACAACCTAGGTGGATCCGCCCAAACGTGATGTAAGACTGACTTAATGATGAAATATGGTGTAATCCATTATTAATGTAACGATTCATGAATGAAGAGGCCGAAACAAAGCAGATGAGTGGGCACGCGATAGTAAGAACAAATGAATGGCCATATGATGAATGGAAATGAGCGTCAAAATGTGGGTAATCAATGATTGTGTGAATAAAGAGGGAGCGACTCAATAATACAAGTGGGCGACTAGGTTGACGATGGCGTTGTTACACAGGAAAGGTTCAGAGGCACTATAGCAGAATGTCTCAATGCAATCCGTTTTAAGCAAGTGCACCATAACCACATTCTCTATCTTTCTCACCAATTATGAAGCAAAAGGTAGTGTGGTGCAAATTGTGCGCACGATTTGAATAGGGCACACTATCAAAAAGAAAGTTGGGACCTGAATCCGTTCCGATAGTATAACTTAGCAAGACAATATAAACTAACCTGGAATGAATCCCTTATTACAGCGGTTCAACGTTTAAACCTGCCTTGAGCCGCAACAATATTATGCCAGCATCGAGTTTACAAGGGCAGTAGACGGGAAATAACGAAAAAAATGAACATCATACACAAACATCCAATCCAATGTCATTGTACACTACAAGCAGCAGTGGGAAACACACGAAATAATCTACTGAAATACACGATCATTCCTCCCATCATCAGGGCAACGGCAGACAGTCCAGAGATAGGCGCGATTGGGACACTACATTCGCACCGCAAAAAATGAAAAGACGACAAGACCGCTCGATCAAGGGGACAACTGCAAGAATGCAACATGACGTGTCAATATCCGACAAACTTTCGAAGACGTAAATTCTCTCAAAGCCGTCGAGATCTAGTTGGCTGCTTCAGCATACCCGCGCCTCTTCAGCAGTACCCGAGAACAATCCGACTCATCGCATAATTGGCCCAAACATGCACTGGAAGTTCAGCTGAATAGGCAAAATTAGCATCCGCATTTGGCACAAAAAAGGCACCATACCGAATTCAAGCCCACCGTCACTAAGAGGAGATAGATCTTTGCCATCAAAATTAACAATCACACCCAATGATTGATTAATAGGAAATCCAAAGCGTTCAACATGTGCTCTAGCGCAAATAAAAACGGAGATAATGCCAAGTTTGGGGCAGTTATTCTTTTAACATTTTGAAAGAACTTATGCATAACTTGCGTATGGCATCCGTCAAGAAGATTGTGGTCCTGAACAGTATCAAGACCTAGCTCCTGCGTTACCACTTACTCAGATTTACTCCTTACCTCACGGACGGCAGCACAACGCAGACGGAGTACTGGACAAGCAGGTCAATGTCTAATCGGATAATACTTACTAATTAACTAAAATTGACACTAATAAGCACTATTGTTAATCCTTAAGTATGGATTTAGCAGGCTTCATGGCGTTTACTAGGGCGGTCGTCTTATTATTCAATTCGTTTGATTCATGATACAGAGGAAGATTCCTATTGACTATTTTTATGGTTTGTCTGCTCGAGATGATGACGTTTGGTGCCACTGATTTTACTATTGCTTTCTTGAGTTATTAAGGGGTTTAAGCTTAGTTTTTGGCTTATCCACCTTAATAAACAGAGACCATATTCCATAAAACTTTAACAAAATCTGCTTATCCCATCATAAGTGACGGAAGCAAATTAAGCATTCGTAAAGGTAGCTAATTTCTACATCTTGAGTAGTTTAATTAAATAAGGTCTAAAATGTTCGGAAAATTTATTGGTTTTAGTAGTAAATTCTCTTAATCCGTAGACTTTTTTAAAATTTGTTGTGCTTATAGTTACATATTTTGCGCTACGAGTCCAGCTTTTTGTTGAAAACAATTTTTACCTCTACTAGGCGCATACGTATTCTTTTCGTTACCCGCTAACGTTTGCACACATTTGGTGTGTTAAAGGATGGACAGGATTGCAAACGTGTTTTCCTCGGAACCGCAGGAAGATGAAGAGGCTATTATTTCAGATGTAATCCAAGGCACTTCATATAGTTGTTCTTAGTCAGGCCATCTTTTCCCCTCTCTTTCGTATTCGACAAGAATCAAAGGCTTTGTATCATGCTTTGTGCTCGGCATCCTGATGTCGCTTCTGGTATGTGGTAACCCCTTTACTTAACCCTACCAGAGCAATTTGTGTTTCCTTTTACCAGGACGGGGTATAAGTTTATTCGCACTATTTTATTCAGTTGGAAATTTGTGCGCCTTATCAAGGTATGTTAATTTATCACTACATTTGTTTCCATGTTAGCACATTTTTCTTAGTGGGTCCTGTGAAACAATGTAAGCGGATGTTTGCGGAATCTCGAATTGTGGCAGCTTTGCTATTTTTGGTAATGCATTTCACATCCACTGAGTTTGGAGCACTTTAGGTTTTTTTGATGTTAACAATCATCTCGGCCGTCGTAAGCAAGTGATAGGTTTATTTAGCTTGTTTTGTTTAGTATCACAAAGCTGCTCTTTGTCTCCTTTTTTCTATCCTTCAATTTATCGCGTTGACATGGTACTCACTCTCATTCATTCCCTATGCGCGGTAAGTTCAATTGTGGAAACGTTTACTTCGCCCTTAATTATCGGATCACCGTTTAGTCTAATTGCAAATTTGTTTACCTTTCATTGGGTTACCCAGTTTTTGCTTTCCAAAATGCTTAAAACTTGTTCTAGCATCCCACACGACTTTAAGATGATAGCTCTTCGTCTCAAATGTTTCGGAGGCGCCTTTATCGTATCGTTGCACAAGCTTGTAAGCTACTTCTCCTAATTTCGGTTTGATCACCTTACATTCTACAGGACGGCCGTACGATCGTGCTTAACTTCTATGTGCTAACTTTCTTCCATTTGATACATTCCCCATTTTTTGCATCTACCCATCTACTAAACATTTGCCTTGTTGCTCGTTTTTGAAAAAAACTTGCATTCATCGTCTTTCAACGTTCACTTAACAATAAAGAATAGCCTGGAATGCTTGAAATGTTCGGTAATAGCGGAAATCTTGACCATATTACGAAAGTTGTTTTAACGGTTGTGATGATTAATTTCAATTGTACATTTGACTAAATATTAACTGCTTGAAGTCGCCGTTACCAGCGGTAAACAAGGTAAATGGTTAGCTTAATCCGGAGCCGTTATTAATGAACGACTGTGTGATCACTAACTCGTTGATATCATCGAATTTTGGTTCTTGTTGTACTACAAGTTTGGTGTCTTTTGGGGACATAGTCAGGCGCTTATTCGTTACGGCTCTGATACATAGGTGAATTCGTGCATGGCTGCCTTTAAGGTCCGGAAACTTACACCTTGAGCGATAGGTGAGTTGGATCTACCGACGAGACTGAAGCAGTAGCGATGGCTAAGTGGGAGTTAGCTTTTTTCATTTCTCCGGAAGCTGTGCCACAAGGCATTTGGCAGTAGCAGCGTAGACGTTCGCAGTTCTGAACGGCCGTTGATTACAAATCTTGTGTCGTCTTAATTTCTCCAGCATTTCCTTTGCTATGTGTTTGATCAGCTGCCCTTTTCACAAAACCACCATGGTTGTACAATGTTTTCTGCGTGACGGGTATGCTCTCACTTTACAGCAGTTTGAATAAGAGGAAGTATCGAAAAGTTTCGCTTCATCTGTAGTTCTTTCTGATACTCCTACCACCGCTTCTACAAATGTAGGTATCTTACAGTGTTGTGAGGGCGAACAGCGGAACACGATCAGCGACCTGTTGTTTGACCTCTGATATACTCCATGGATCTCATGTCTCAAAGTCTTTGGGTTTTACCAGCCTGAAGGCTTTCGGATTCCGGTGCATCATGAATGCTATCAATGCTATCTTCTGACCATTTGTGAGCTGCTCATACAGATTTCTGATTTCTATTTCAACTTGCTTTGTACAGTACCAGAGCACACAGTTGGCGAAGCATTATAAACTTCATTTAAGGCGAAATGAAACAATATCTGTAGTGAATTTTGGCATTTAGTAAATTGAAGAGGTTTAAATAACTTACAGTACATGCAGCGGGTCTTCTGCGCAGCCAGGCACCACAATGGAGAATTTAAGAGACTGGTCGGTGTATTTCATAGTCTCTCTTCTTAAATCGCTGTCAACGATCATCAACCTATCCTGGAAATACAGCTAAATTTACAGTTTTCCTTCATGTGGAATTGCATTAAGAGGAGGGTAGAATGAGCTAGCTGATCGCAGGAATCCTGATCCATAGGCATCCATACAACTGGGGCTGATTGTCTACGTTCTGTTCGTTTAGCAGAGTGACAAATGCGGTGTCTGATCACATAATTTTTTATTTGCATATCAGTATGGTGAGTGGCTTCATTAACGCAATTCGGTAGGGTATACAGTTATGTCGCTTTCTAGCAATGACGAAGCTCAAGAGCAAAGAACTGAGGTACATGACGAGATCAGTCATAATACTCGTTTTCTTTTTGTGGACTGTCACTGCTACTCCTAGGTGTCGCATTTGAAATTCTCTCGCTCCTTTGAAACTTATCACTCAATCTGTTTTCATCTGCAACAAGTATAGCTACTCGGAACCTCACTAAAAATGAAAAGACAACGCTTGTAACATCGACATTGCCAGAGTTTGGGACAATCAGCATGATCTGAATGCCGCTCTACGTGGCCTCTTAGGGCGTGCTCGTACTTCCTTCACCGAAGTCAAGAGCCATGTAACCTGCTTTTCACAAATATTTTTCAGTCTTTTGAGAATGGATAAGCGAAATTTAAGCAAATTCTGGTGACGCCCATCATTTCGAAAAAACTGCTTGAGTTCAATTTTCATTTCCCACTTCTTTGTTGATGTGAATTACAGTCAGTCATATGTGGACTAATCTCCAGGATGATAAATTATTAACTCCATTTTTCAAACAAGGTTTAGGGAGGAATAAATGCAGAGCCAAAGCATTGGTTAACAAACAAGGAGGGAATAGGGTTTTAGCTTCTCCTTTTGCCTTTACCAGTTCATGACCTACTGCATTATGGACATTCATGGTTTTCTTATTTTAAAGTAGCACTCCTTTTAAGGTTATCAAACGTAAGCAGCTTGTAGGTACCATAACGAAATTGAACATAGCTTTCTACTTAAACGTTATGAGTAGCGGTATAGCTTTATTCATGAAAGCTATAAAGTTTGTATTATACGTAAGTTCAATGGCTAAAGGTGTGTGATTCATCCATGCAGATAATGCTTTTTCATTACCTCTGCACTGCTCAACATGTATACCACAGACGACAGAGACCTGAGTTCACGTCTTCGTTGAGTTGAGAGAGTGCCTTCACCATGAATAGGTCATCTGTTGGGTCGGTTATGAATTACTACAATCCACTCCTCCTTCCTATAATTTCCTGAAATGCTTGCTTGTAGTGGTAAGGTAAGCGAGTCAGCGACTTATAAAACTCGCTCTATCGGTCGTTACGGGCAAAGAGTGCAGATTTAAAGCTGGAAGGCAAGTAAATCTTATTTGCAATGAATAAGCACGGCGTTACAATGCAGCTCCTTGAGTTAGCTAATAATGCTTGGACTGCGTCTACACTTTGCGAGAGATAATGGTGAAGTGCTGTGCCATAATTTTGCCTGTCTGCGTTTGCTAACAGACCTATTGAAAGTAATTGTGGATTTTTTTAGATAGGCAGTGGGTTGATAAATGGCCTACTAAGTAGGTATCAAGGCGTCCTCAACAATGAAATTCATCAAAGCTTTCACAATACTGACGAAACTTGAGCTCATCAGTGTGATGTGATTCGAAGCTGCGCCACTTGTGAGAAAGGTCTTTTAAATCTGCGACATCCATCACTGGGAATCGGCATCCAACTCTGTAGGTTCTGCACTCGTGAAAACATCAGTGGCGAACAATTCATCTTGTCCTTGAGAGAGAATAGGGTCTGCATATCCGAGGTTTCATTGAATACTGCAGCTCAATTAAAGTTGGATGGAACTCTTTACATCTCATTAAAATACCAACGTTGTGACTGCATTCACTGTGGGCCTATTGAGTCTATTGGTATATCGTCAAAGCCTCGACACCCTTAAAGCCCAACATACGCAAACTAAATAAATTTTTGATCAAATTTCATTTGTTCCTCCCATCATTTCCGAACTCGATGAATTATGTTCTCGGAAGACTTGACATATCACGTATCATACGCCTTCAAGGCAGTCACTTAGGCATTTCGACTTGAAAACACTGGTTGTATCACGAATGTTGCAGAGATCTGTGCTTTGGGAATAGGAAACCAAGTTTAGATATATCTCTCAACAAAGAATGCTTTTGTCGCCAATGGGCTAACCATATTTTGAAAATGTCGTTTCCGACTTTGGCTTTTCCTCCCAATGTGAGTGTGGCGTTCTGGTTTCGGGAACGTTATATGTGGCAAACATCCCTTTTCCAGTCCTACCACCACTTTCCCTTTATGAAATAGCTCTAGCTACCACATGGCTAGATTGCCTCGCTGGGCTGATATAGCGGCATAAGCGACCACACCTAAGGTCAGATTCCAAGCAACTTCACAGTTTAGTTGACAACGGGGGAATATCAGAGAAGTAGTAGAAATTATCAAGTGTTTGAAGATCTTGGGGAGATTATACAACATTTATGCTTGGATATTGTTAACAAGTTTGCCATGAGAACGTCCAAAGCTGTCTTCCAATTACCGAACTGCGAACGCATAAGCGATTTAAGCGTTTGCCACTAAAGTACATAATTGTCAAGACTCGGCAAAAGATTGTGTGGCGCCAAATGAGATAAATTGATTGTGATAGCATTAAGAAGATACTAGGAGGCAAAATTGGCGTTGACAGGTGTACACCTTCGGATTTCGACTGTTTCCAGTGCTTGCGGAGAAGCGCCTCGCACTTGTTTTTGCGCACAGGTATGAGCATTCGTTTTTTGTAATATCTCGCCTGAAGATTGATTGTCTTTGTTCAGATCATGAAGTCCTCTATTTAAAGGCTTTGCTGGAGCTTGTTTTACCCCAGAAATATTCATTATTGAAATCCGGCTGATGAAAAATAGAAACTAAAACCTTGTAAGCAAGTTATCCTAATTGTTGATTTAAAAAAGTCGGACACTTCCTACCCTGGGTTGTGCTTCATTTTTTCATGTGCGCGAAGGACATTATTCAGGTGGAGATGAGGTTCCCCGAGGCCCTTATTTGCAGGAATTTCGGGATTCGATCGTGGCATTTTAAATGACAGCCCTTGAAGCAGTAAGCTTGCATTAAAGAGCAGATCAGGGAGGCTCAAATGCTAAACACAAAGTTGTAATATTTTCCTTGAATTGATTTATTGTTGGTGTCTTTAAGTGAGTAATAATTAAGCACTTAATTATTGAATGCGTTAATTGGCTAGTATTCTCGCATGTTTAAATGAGAATAAATTGGTTTGGAAATAATTAATTTGTTTAAATAACCTCCGTCCTATAGATTGTTATAAGGCGGCATTTATGAAGGCGCGCCTCAATTCTGTTAGAGGGGTGTGGTTCCCAAGGCAGCTTTGACGGTCAAAATACGGTCTAATCTATACTGATAAGTTTTAAAAGGCTCCAGAGAAAACACGGCAATACTTTAGGGAGTTAATGTGCGTATGTGACCGTAGTAGTGACGACAACAACACACCCGACTTTTGAGGGTGTCAAGCCGATCCAGACCCTGCTGCCAAGTTGCCATTATTGGGCAGTAATAACGTCAGGCGAGTAAAATCTTCCACACCCAAACGTGCACACCCGTTTCAACTAGTCGTTCAGGTATTACGACTATAATGTTTTTGTTTATTACAAAGTCGGGAGATTGGTGCCCAACTGTCAAGAGTGTTGGAATTTGGTTATGCGTTCAAATCTATCACAATAAACTTCGTTAATTTGTGTTCTTATTTTGGGATTGGGACATTTTGGGCAGTCAGAACTATTGCACAATTACGACTTCAACATTAGGTGAGGAACAGAGGATGCAAGGCACTTCGAGTGCAGGAAATGTGGGAAAATGCAAAAATTTTTGATGTTGTGGTCTATTCAAATGCGATTTCGCAATTAGAGAGACAGTGTAGGTTAGCAGCTTTGCGTGAAGGTGGGGAGATTGGCATACGTACCCAAATTCGTACCACTGATTGGCCAAAGTGGTCGAGGGTCAATGTGCATATTTAAACGGCAGGATGGGGCGGGGGGAAATACGAGAGTGTTTACATGGAGCATTACTGCGAGTGGCGTTGATGAATCACTATGACTTCACTTTAGCACTTGCAAAGACTCCTACGATTGAAAAAAAGTCAGAATGTCAGCCACGCCCGCACGCGAGCGCGCACGTATGTACGTATAGGCCATAAAAGGTGTGTGGTAACGCCTTTTTCAAGAGACGTTGCAAATGTATTGCACATACTGTCTTCGGATCTGCATTCTGTTCTCCCTACTCCCACATCTTTCCATGTGTGTGATGCTTCCCCCATCAATATCCTCGTCAACTTCATCAAAAGACATGGAGTTGGAGCGGAACTTCCATATCCTCTCGTGCATTTATAGCGTGCGTCAGTGCCTCCCAGCCTGTCTCAATGGAGGACGTCTATGGCGACCCTCGATGCCGTGGAAGAAGTGCCATTGTGATTGCCTGCCTGGATATCATGGGTTTGTCTGCCAGTTTTATACATCTCCCAATTAAAGCTACTTTTATCCGCCTTAGTCTTTTCAACTTGTTGGGAAGCTCACATTCATGTAGTCGCATACTCGCCAAGGCTTCAATTTAGTAAGTTTGGTTCAGAATCCAGCAGAAGTCCTTGGTCCTGTGCTGTACTTTCACACTTGAGTATTTTAAAAACACTGGGATGTTCCTAATGACTTGAATCATCATCTAAGTTAGATTATAGTTTTGTTTTGCAACAACTTGCGACAGTTTTAGGTTTCCTTTTAAAAATAATGACTAAAAACTTCTCCAAGGTAGAAAAGGCCAAGGAACAACTTACAGCGCTATGTACTCCAGTTTGCCTCCCTTGTGCAAGGCAATCCTATGTTCACGCCCAGACAAAACGATGTCCCGCACCGCAGGAGTTTCCAACTGCACTTCACCAACAAAACTACACCTTAGGAGCTGTGCAGCTGCGAATCTGCTGCTGGCAAACACCTTCTCACTAATAAATAGAAAGGTTTTGTGCACATCAACACAAAATGACAACCTTGGCTGTTTCACTAAGGAGCCAATAATACGCACAAAATCTCATTCATACCTCATAAACTATCCAGTACGAACTATTAATTACTGACGTGGAGACAGAGGTAATTATCCGACTGTCGCTTCCGCAAAACACCTAGCCAAAGATGTTGAGGTAGGCACCGCCATTATTAACTAAATTACGCTAATTTGTCAACTCCAAAAGGAGCCGTAAATTTCACATTCTAATCTCTAACAAAAGTGTTTGTGCCAACCATCTGAAAAGTCGTATGGCTTTTGACAACCATCGGTTAAGTAGGAGTGTTCTCCAACTTCACCCTCTCTTCCATGAGCTACTCTGATGATGAGTGTCCTCGTGCGAAGTCGTTCCTGATTGTTGACTACTTCCCCACTTGTAATAATGTTAGGGAACACAATTTAATTTTCACTCTTGTGGGAATAGTACTAATTACTCCCCAATGACGCATTAGCCGTCAAGAAATTCATGGCATTAGTAGTCCAAAGGAACCATTGCGGCTAGAGTAGGAGACCAAACTGCGAGTTAGCGATTCACTAACGGCAAAAGAGGCGGAAGTGCCGAAATTATTGAAGACAGTGTTGAGGCTTGATGGCATGGCTGATGTTGTTCATCTCGCCTTGAGTCGCATCGAAGGACCTGACAAAGGCGTTCACGGCGCAGGCAAAGCAATGCAGTAGAAAGGGATCTCGCTTCTTGCCGTTTTATGGTCTCAAGGTTGAAAAGGCGTTTTGCCATTACTGGATCCTCGCGTCCTCCACCCAGATCCACCCGCTTGGGGGCAGAAGCAGAGACAAATGTATCACGGCTTGTGTAGAAGAGCGCTTTGGGGCCGTAATTACCCTCGCCTTGAAGTACATCACGCAAGGGCACCCAATTTCGAATTTGGTTTTCAAAGTCAGTGCTATCGCAAAGACGGATTTCTGCAGTGTTGCAAGTCTGAGGCAACGAGTGGTAGGTCATGCCACCGCGGTCAAGGTCAGAGTGTCTAAAGTCATGCCTTTTCAGCGTTTCCATGGCAGTCCATCGATTAAGGGCTGAGGAGAGATGGTGAGCGCTAGACTACCTCTTTTTTCTTAAGTGCTTTTATCCTCCATTAAATTTCAACTTGCATGATTTCAATGTCAAAAGTCTTGGGGAAGTCTTTTGTAGTTAAAGTAAGCCCAAAATACGTACTCATGCCTTAAGATCTCATGAAATTTCGCATCGCAATAGTAGAAACATTCAAGTGTGTTGCTGCGAATCTCTTTAATCAGCCCCGATTCGAAAGATCTTGACAGTTGTCGTCGGCAATAAGTGGTCTTTCAAAGACCGCCACGGATTTCGCTTTCCATGTTACGGATGGCATTTGTTTGGACGGTGCCTCAAAAAATGCCGCCCTCGGCGAACGGAACAGTTCCGCTTCCAGTGCAGACTAAATTCCCACAGGGAATGCACGGTGCTTAATGCCTCTCCAGACTACAGACCTCATGCCCCAATGTTTAAGGCTAAAAATCTGTGGACAAAACCTGCAATCTTTATGCTATTAAAAATATTAAAGTTTAAGAGTTATGTGCAAAACGCCATAGGGAAGCGGTCAATCTTTATATCATGCCAAAGTAGTAGTAATTTAAAAACAAACCTGATTTTATCTAACAGCTGTTCTGTATTGGTGAGAGATTCCTCTGAATTTGCCCTTCTGGTAGATGCAAACGCAAAATCTGCTTTTACTCTTCGAAGACTGAATTCCATCACAAGGAAAGACTCTTTATGTGGCATCCAACGAGGTTGGAATTGCTCCGTTGGACGAGTCTTCGAATGAAGTAACTTGCAACATGGAGTGAGTAGCATTAGGAGGAAAATGTGTGCATCTGAGAGCAGCACTTCGGTCGTGTCATTGAGTGCAGTTGTCGGGGTGGTGCCTTCTACGAGTGTACACGAACAAAGATGGCGACCGTTCCATTCAACCCTCCGTCACTTCATTTGATGGTGACAGCTCCAGTAGGGCGTATTGTGTAGGCAATGGAGATGATAAATTAATGGAAGTAAAGAAAGAATTGGATGGACCGACTCACTGCGTGGCTTCAATGGTTTAAAAGACCAGTGGATGAGGCTAGAATTGTGTCTTTTGAGATAAAGTTGCATTGCTGTCGGGGGGACGGAGATTTGCAGTCCAGTTCCCTATTTTATGTGTCATAGCAGAGGCTGGCAAACTGCTTTCATTTGAAGCCGTTGATGCAAGAGAGTTGACGACTGAGTCGCATGTCGCAGACATCAACTTTAAAGGCTGTCGAATTTTTCAGCTAATTACACCAAAAAACATCCTCTCTATTCTTCATCATATTCTCACCTTTAAAGGTTAAGATGAGTGGTCGCTTGCGGTTTCATTGGAGAGGAGAGGTTTCTTCACACAGGCGATGGTTTTTTTTTTGCGGGATTTGGTCTCCCTTCTGGCTCGAAATCACAATTGCGCCTTCATGCCTTCAATAGAAGTGTAAAATAACAGCACTTTATTTTGTGTCTCAAGGCATATTGAGGGTTTTAGGCTAAGGAAATAATCATCAAACACTGCCATCGCTATTCCTCCATCATATCATGAGAAACAATAAAATCCCTTTTATATTACTTATTAGATAAGTGGAGCAGTCACAAGGGCTTCGAGGTTTTACTTGTACAATGAACTGTGAAAAAAACTCGTTCCCAGAGCAGTGAACCTGAAAGAGCCTTATAGTTTTAGTCATTATGTCTGTTGGTGGCTGCAGAACGAAAATGGTAACCACGTTTAGCACGAGGAGGTCGTACACGCCGATGGCTGACAATGAATAGGGGCTAACAAGCTGTTAAGTCATGGAGTCTGATGTTCGCATGTTCGGGATAAGTTGAGATCATCTCTACCCTTCGGGGATAAATGAAAGGTGTCACTGTATGTTCTCTTTCTCTCTCTTGAAAGTAGCTATTTTAGGGCTACTCACCAAACATCAAAGGAGTTACGAAACCTTTGAAGTGGATGAGATCCCACATTCATGCATTCTCTCAACAATCTTCGCCACCAAGTCATTACGTGGATGCACTTCTGTGGTAGCTGCTTTGTCGGCCCATCACCTGCACCGACGATAGAAGTCAGACCACAACCCACGGCGTGTGATTTTTTCGTCTCCTTTGGGGGACTGCTTTTTTGAAGATGATTGAGAGCAGAGCACTAACACTTTTTCGACGTTTAGTATTCTTGTCGAATGACTTCATTTTGGAAAGTAGGACTGATCGGTACAGCAATGAGACATTGACTTGTCAAAACGAAGGTCAGTGATGTGCACAATTCACTGCAAGATTTGTACACTTTGTTTGATAGGTCTGCTTGACGCAACTGGTGCCTCTCCAGTTGGATGAAATCAACCTTCTTTGGACTCCTACTTCCCAAGATGGGTAAACGTTGTACCATTTTAATGGCCATGACTGACTACGTGTGTCAACTAAAAGCCCGCAAAAATATGCCAAAAATCCCATTGCTTTAGGTCGAAGGAGGATCCAATGACATCGCCAAATTAGAAAAGTAACCTTAAACGAGTTCTGCAATTCGGTTCCCATTTGTCAAAATTTTACCTTTGGAATCAGCATCACTTCACGCATCGTATTTGTGCGGCCAAGTCGCCCCATCAGACCCCTTCAGCTGCCCTTCCTCCTCCTGCCTCAACATCAACAGTGCATTGGTCACCGCTCGCCTTCAGGAAGGACCTGCAGACGTTTGGTCGACGCCTTTAACTCCAATGTGTGGAAAGAAGGAATTACCTGGGTAAAGTTAGTTGTCCCCACCGCCTTAAAGGCCCTCAACAGCTCGTGTTATTCAAAATGCGTCTTCATCTCTCAAATTGAACACTTGCGACTTATTCACCCATTGTACAAGTCATTAAAATATATCAGCCAAATGATATTTTTTAAATGGCTACGTTTCGACGAAAGCGGGAATAACGCGTTATTGTCAGGAATGCATAACTTTATAATTAAAATTAGCTCATTTACATGCAATGAATTACGGTGCGTGCACTAACCACACCCTTCGCAGTTGGCAGTTCCATCGGGGCTGGATGGCGTGGCGGCTGTGTCGGTTGTCCCTGAACCCCTCGGAAAGGCGGTACAGCACACTTGGTGCCACTGATTTAAAAAGATTCGGACGGCACTGTATTTAAAACTTGTCCTAATCCGCCTAAAAGGCATGTCACATCAAGCCTTTCAGTCTAACATCCAACTAAAAGGCCATCTAGTCTGCGACTGTAGACTTATTGCACAACCAAAGTGCATCGGGAAACTCCATCATCATTGAAGGCAAGGAGGGCCTGAAGGGCATTATGCAGAGATGAGTTGCACAAAATTCACTCGCCAGAGGCACTTGACAACATTTCCTCCTGTCACGACCAAGAAACTGATCATTCCTGCAGAATCCTCACTTCTCTGTGGTAATTTGTCGTCTGGACTCCCTATAAATTGGGTTCTACCTACCAGACGAGTTTTTTTTTGAGGAGGCAATCTTACTCTGACCTGAGCCAGCTGAAGAAAAGTACAGCAGCCTTGTGGTGTCAATCAGCACCATTTTGAATGCCCTATACTGGATCTACTTTTCAAAATCTCTCAAGAATAATTTAATAGATTAATTACCTTCCGGTTCCAGACTTCGAGGTTCTTTTGTAAGTAAAAGGTTTAGTAATTTCAATTTCTTATTCCCACTTGTTCTACTTTAATTGTCAACGCTGTCGTTAACCCAAATCATTTTTACACCACTCAAGAAACGAGGAAGTGGACGATGCTGGAATGGAAAGTTGTTTCCAACCTTGTTAACACTCCCACTTTCCATTGGTTCGAACATCCCCTAGTCACAGAAGTTCCCGTAACACTATAACCAGCGTTTCTCGTGCATAAATGGTAAATTAAGCCTTCAAAAGATCTCATATTAGTAGGAGGGACCTCGGGTTAAAAATGGCATCCTTTACTTTGTCTCAAGCGTGCACCACTCCAACTGCTCTCAAAGTCCCTAGCAAACCAAACGGCACTGGCAGGAGCCCAAGTGAACAGTTGAACAGAAGAACGAATTACTAAAGTTGGTTTTCTGAAGCCACTGTTTTGAACCAGGGACAAGTGTGTAAACAGCGATAACATTTTTGCTTGATAGTCAAATCGCACTCAGGAAGCATTGAAAATTGCCACCAATGGAAAAGATACAATAAAGAAATTGTTGTTTTGCCTCATGTTAGTCCCGAAGATGAGAGAAGTGGGAAAATGTATTAGAGATGCTCAAAAGGCAAAAGGTGACACTGTTGTCACTACTCAGAGTCCGCTTTTTTTCCCTGAAGAATTTACCCAAGGCAGTCCTAAGGGATTTGGCCGCCATTTTAAATGTTTGCATTGTTGAGAGAAATGAAATGAAATGAAATTTTCGGATTTTTATGCACGCAATTCTTTACATCCATTTCAGTTTGTTTGACTTCTGCCGCGAGTTAACAGTTGGCGGAACACTATGCTTTGTATTCTGCCTTTTATTATCCTTTTGCCTTTTTTTAAACCCCCACCTTATTGTCTGTCGATGAGGCCAGATGGATGTGGTCTGCTTTGAGAATGGAATCTCCAACCGTTCCAAGGGTGCAGTTGCTTTGCGCACTGCGATCTCGCATTGGTCCCAGGGACAGAAGTATCACGCTCAGAAGGGAGGGTTTAAAGATCCAAAAAACAGTCGTATTTTTTTTCTCATTTCCATTGTCAACTAACTTTTAGTTGAGCCGTAGAGAGGGAAACGCGAGATGTTGGCCAAAGTGGTTACCCATGTGCGTCAACTGATTGCTCAGTGTGTTTTTGCAGACAACAAAGTCCCTCTCAACACCTTCTTTGCAAGTATTTCAAAGGCACACTTTATTATGCAGATTAGTGATTGCCTTTTAATGAGCGATGGCTTCTGCATCTCAAGGTTGGGTAAATGAGTGTGTCATTGATTAGGCTCACGTGACTCACTCAGTGCCCCACCCCACACCCCTGAGCCGCACAGCATCGGATCC